ATGGCAGAGAATCTCAGAATTGTTTATTTCAAGAGTTTCTATAATAGATGTAATTAAATAGAAAGAAGGGTAACGCGAAGTTGACAAATTATGAAACAAGAGGGGGAGAAGAAAATAAATAAATGGAGTGATAAGGAGAGAGAGAGAGAGAGAGAGAGAGAGAGAGAGAGAGAGAGAGAGAGAGAGGGGGGGGGTTAGTACTGTCTCAGAAGATATGTACAAATGTACTAAGATTGGAACCGTGAGTGGGGCACAAAGCGTGGCCGGGCATAATGTTGCAGTGTCAATATGGGGCTTGTCTTGTGTTAACATAAGGCCCTCGTGGTCAACTTGTCGCCTCCCGCAGCAGGGGGTCGCTCTCCTCAGGTAAATTTAAATATTGGCCTTCCCAGGGACGCCTGCCGCGAAGCCATTAATTCCCTGTCTCTTCTCGAGAAATTTATTTTTTTTCCCTCACGTTGAGTTGACCCCAGGGAAGTGTCAGCCCCTACCCGTACCCCCTCTTACTTTGCTCATAAGGACAGCTTTCAGAGTTTCTCCCTCTCACTTGACCTCAAGTTGATAGGCTAATGGAATAAAAAGATCTTAGCCTACTTTCACAAACGTTAGCGTAAGGTGTTTCATTCCATTTCAATTTCTAATGAAAGTGTACTTTGACTTTGGCATACTTCTTCGGTCTAATATATTCAGCTTACATGTGTAGAGTTGTTCATTATCCAGCTTCGTTTAGTCTGCTCGCCGTGTTGTCTGTTTACTCTTCACACATTCCCATTTGTACTGTACATAGAACGTCATTTTTGGGAGGTCGGCCACTCTATTTTGGGACTGTTTTTCGCACGCCTCCCAGTTCTTGTCGCGTTTTCCGACACCATCCGTTTTCTTCTTTTTCCTCGTCCTTTGCAGCTAAATGGCAATAGTCTGCCCATGTTAACCTTTGATAGGGTAAGACTCCCATTTTTCCCAACTTTGATTCTGTCGTGCCAGTAGAAGAATGAAAATCGTTTTGGTTCTATCCTCAGTCAGTCAGTCACGACTCTTTGATCAGAGCCTTACCATGGCTGACTTTCCCCCTATTAAAGATCGCCAAACCCTCACACGTTGTGCCTCGATGCTCCTTAAAAGCTCTAGTCTCCAGGTCTTAAGTATTTATCAGAATTTTTTTCACCTTTGAAGAGTCATGCATTTTCCAAGCAACGGTCTACCTCCACATAGAACCGTGGGGAAATCCCAGCACAGCCGAGCAGACTCTTAGTGTCCACAACACGAATTGCGTCTCGGCGTTGAACCAACGCGAAAGTCACGGCGACTGTCCAAGGTCTCTGTCGTTTGTGGTGACCGCGTGAAGGCACGTAGAAAGACCCTTCCTACTCTGTAGAACCATGAACATAAATGGGGTTAGGCCTAGCAACTCTCTGATGGCTCCGTTTTAATAGTGGGCACTTTAAGCTTTCCCGCTTGTGCGGGTTTCAGAAACTCCCCCTCAACCCCCCCCCCTCCCCCACGCCTTCCTCACCCACCACCTTCCTTCCTCTCTTTCAGCTACTTAAACGGCTGATACATCGGGTTTATTGTTTTTTGGCTCTCTTGGACGTTTGTTTTTTTATTGGCTCGTGAAAGCCCCAAAGTCCGATGATTGTAGGCCGGGCCGGCCCTGTTGTGTCGTAAAAGGCCAGGTTATAGGAATTCCTTACAAGCCTTGCTAGGAGAGCCCCGTGATGAACCGTTCATCTTCTTTAACAGACCGTGTGCAAGGATGTTGCGCCTGCGCAATACGATAGTTTTGTGTTGTCGTAATCGCGTAAACGACTCAAAAATTACCAGATCTTGATGCATTATAAAAAAAAATAAATAAATAAAAAGACGGAGGGATCACCTCATGAGCTCAATAATTGCGAAATGCCTTCTTGGGAAAAAAACATGCATTATTATAATTTTATGGGAGTATTAGATGGACACCCATTTATTTTCATGTTAGATTCTTTAGATGGCAATATTAATTGCAAGTCATGTTCTCCGATTCAGTCTTCAGTTGCGGGTTTCTCTTGACTAGAATCAGAACGCCATCGTGACAGGCTGTACCATAGTTGATAACAGAAGAATATTATTGTCTTTAGTTCATGGGCGGTTGAAAAACATATTTGGTAAATCTCGGATCAAAGTTTAAGTCCTGGGGATCCTGTTCCCTCCCCTCAACCCATAACCTTTTCACCAATTGTCTCATTGTATTCAGTTGACGATTCAGCTGTCCACGAATACTGATATAATAAATCTTCATTATCTGTTCCACTTCAAGGATCTCTTGAGACCGCGCCTTCATTTCAAATTTTGCCTCGATTCTCAAAGGATTTTTCTTGTCAACGGGCGCAGTAATAAAAGAATTCCCCCCTACGCTTTCTGTACGCATTGTAGTTACGTGAGATGGATCTCTGAGCTTTGTCCACGGTGGACCACGAGGGGATCTGAAGCTGAACATATAACGTAGGGCGTCTTCCTTCCATTGTACTTACGACCATTCCTCTGTACTATGAAGTACAGGTTTGTACTCTGCCAACGTTCTAAGTTGTGTTTACGTTTGTATGTGAAGGTACATGTATTTGAATTGATAACCCCACCCCTTTCCACCCACCTAATCCCTGAAAAGCTGTGTTGCTGTTGTCTTTTTAATCCACCAGAAGTCATTATTTACTATTTTGGAACATTGGTTATATATGGCCACGGTTAAGTGCTTAATTGTTTAAAATATGAGTGAATGTCATGATTTGAATTTGAATAAAATGGAAATAAAAAGGTCAGAAAACGTGTATGGGTGGAAAACGTGAGTTCCAGAACCTGTCATTTAGATTGATAATTTGTTTGTAGAAAGATGCGCAGGCAATGTTGTAGATGGAACCGGGTTACCTAAACTTCAGTTTGTCTCTGTGTGATAAGTGGTGGTTGGAAGGTTAGAGTTCCTGTCTCTATCTGTTCTTTTCCTTTATTGTCTTACTCTTTCTAACATCAACTTGGTTTTATGTTTGAGAGTTTTTTAATAGTTTTTTTTTCTTTGTG